CCGGACTGACCGTCGATGACGACGAAGAGGACGGCCAGCGATGGGTGTGTCCGAAGTGTACGGTCGAGAATCACTCGGCCCTCACCTACTGTGAAGTGTGCGAATTGCCCCGCAATGTGCGGCTCATTGACGTTACCGATGCCGCCGCTGTGGCCGCCATCGACACCACCGACTCGTCGGCCACTGCGAGCGCACAACTGAGTGGTTCCGGTGCTCACCACTCGTCCCAATGCTATTGTCACGAATGCCATCATTTGGACCATTGATTGGCTAAAACTGTACAAACATTTCGGTGTTATTTTCGGTCTAATAATTGATTGTTAATGAGATCTGAGACATGAATTTCCATGTGTTGTATATATTATGCATATTTTGTTGTGTTTTTGTGATCAAAATCAGTGTTTTGTTTGTTTTTTATATGATTTTGTTGTTTACAAAAGTGAGTGTAATATCGAAAAAAATTATTGTTTGTAATTATAATTTGCAGTATTTTTTTATTTAAAATTGTGTTTAATTTGACATTTAATTTAAGTATTAATTATAAAAATGTTATGAAATTAGTTTGCAATACAACTTCAATAGTTAATAATAGGCTATAATAAAGACTTATGATCTGAACAACAAATTAGTACTTAAAATAATTATCTCGATGTAAAATACGAATTAAACATATAGTTTTAATCATGAATTTAATGTACTTGATGATTTGCAAATTATATTTAATTAAAAATAATTAATATTAAACATTAAAACTTTGCGCTGAAGATTGTGGTCATATTGTATGAACACATTGTATGCAATAATGTCTATTCAGACATACCGTGAATTCCCAGAGCTGTTCCTCTTCGCCATTCACTTCGACATCCATTTGATTGCATTCTTGAGTGATAACCGCTTTCATCTTCACTGATGAGGAGACCACTTGTGGTCAATACATGCAACACATGGATGGCCACCGACTCGAGTTTATCACCGCCTGTGCTGTCCGTCAAAGACATGGCATTCATCGGCGGTTTAGACCTAATGTGTGAAGACATTCATTGTCTGAACAGTTATTTATAAATCACATATTTTTGTTTTCGCTTTTTTGAATCGAAACATAGTTTAAAACATTTTTGTGCCAAACAATCATTAATGTAAAATAAGTCAACTAAAGTTGTGAACAAATACTCAACAAATTATCATAATTTGATTAAAGTTTGCATTTTTTGAACACATTTTTTATTCACTCATTGTATTCACTTATTTCACACACGAATAGCACTCGTGTATTACAAACCAATTGTTAGCACTAATTGGCATCACTTCTGGGCTCATCATCAGTGAAGACATCACTTCTTCGCTATAAAACTCGTTGACATTCAACACAATTAAGTATTTTATTAATCATTAAATGAATTGATTATTAATTATGTGTTTAATTGTAAGGACAGTATTGGCTGTCATCCCATTGGCCGGCGCTCTGGTCTGGTTTGAGTCCACACTTCAGTTCACTTATAGACCACTGTTTGTATCACTCGTTGGCATCACATATGAAATTAATTATAAATAAAATAAATTACTTTTTCAATAGTTATTGAAAAATCCCAAAACCACTAGTTTTGAAGCCATGTCTAGTCTAACGAAGTGCACGACATGTGATCTGCCGGTGGAGTCGGACGGCGCGGCCGCCGATCATAATTGTGTTGACGGTCTGAAGAAAGCGGCCGCCAATTGGGAGGCGATGTATAAAAGCTCCGAAATTGAGTGCATTTTATTGCGAAAAAAGTGCAATGAGTTAAACGAAATGTTGCATTCGCTGCCGTTTACCGCACACAACGCGTCCGTCACATACGGAACCCATAGGATAACTGTCGGCCAAATAAGTGTTACCGAAGGGTTTGTCGAGTTTCACCTGATAACGGAGCCGGAAGGGGCCGCCCAACCACTGGATCAGCCCATTATCATCGCATACTCTTTGACTAAAAAGCTGTTGGTCTGTCCCGACCCGGCGCTGATGGCCATTTGTTTTAAAGAGTCGGCCAACGCTATAACCACTAAACTGTTTGGTTTACAAACTGATGATATGAAACATGGTTTGCGTTTTTTAAATTTTATGTTTGATTTTTGTAAGTTTTAAATATTTCATTGTCTTGTGTCTTGAATTGCAGAGAAGTATATGGTTTTGGCATTTGATAGGCTTATGCCTGAATCGGTGGTCAACCGACTGAAGGAGTGCTACGCGAGGATCACCAGTGGATCCATGTATGAGATCATCGACAGACAAGCGGCCCAACAGTTACTTTTAAGCACTATATAGGGGGCAATGGCTTTGGCCCGGGAGGCGATGGAATGGCCAATAGTTGCTAAACTCATTGTTTTATTTATTTTACATGAAATTAATTCTAATAAATTGTTTGTTGCAATAAACGCTAACTTTTGTAATATGGTCATAGTTTGATAATTGTATTTACATAACTAACATTGAATGTAAAACGTTTTAATTAATCGATTAAAAAATGATTAAATTATTTTGTGTTTATAATTGTATTGTAAATCAATTAATTCATAAATATGTAAAAAATTGAAATAATTGAATTTGATTTTTTAATTTTATTTATTTAAAACCTTATAATTAAATACAATTTGATTAACAATAACTAGACTATACTATAGGCCCTATACTATACAGTAATGCGCTAATGAATAGAGTGATAGTTTGTCTCTTATAAGCCGGGGGGACATCGATGTCCACACCTGTGTCCACACAACCCATACTTAATCCCATAGAAAGGCACCACTAATACAGAAATTAAACACTCAGTTTGATGTTTTGGGTTTAATGTAATGTTTTGTTTAAATTGTTAACAATTTTATCTATCATTTGACAAACACTTAATCCTTTTATTTGTGCAAATTTTTGTGAAAAATACATAGATTTTAAACATAAGAATCAATCGATATCTGACCAGAGATGAGAACAGATCTCCCAAAGAAATGTTCAATATTTTTCACACAATTCCCTGAAAAGCTTGTTTTATTTGACTTGATTTTAATTATTTGTTAATTTGTAAATTATTAATTATAATTTCAATCATTTTGTGTGAAAAATGCCACAAATGTATAGCAAATCATCTTTTGATAGATTTGGTGACGATTTGTGCGAAGAGTTGTTGTCTTNAAATCATCTTTTGATAGATTTGGTGACGATTTGTGCGAAGAGTTGTTGTCTTTCCTCACATTTGAAGACCGATTCCGTTGTGAATGTCTATCAAAACAGTGGCAGAGATTGATATTCAAGAGACATAAATCCTTATTATGGATTTCTTCATTAAATTATGGAAATAAATTGGATATAATTGAGAAAATACTGATAAAGTGTCCAAACATTACACGCATTGAATTCTCTTTATTAGGGAATTCATTCATTGATTTGCTTACAAAATATTGCAATCATTTAACACATATTTGTTTATATTTATCCCGACTTTCTGTCCAAACTATTGACCTTTTTTTCGCAAAGTTTGCCAAACAATTGAAAACCATATCATTGTGTGGTTTAGACAACACTGTTATGAATGATGTGTTGTTTAAATGGCTTGAAATGTGTGTGAATTTAACTGCAATTAATATCGCTGGAGAATTGTCTCAAATAAAGCCTGTATTTAGTGCTGAAAATGGTTTGCGTTATAAAAGACTTAATTCATTGCGTTTTCACATATGCTTTAGAAATGTGGAAAATTTGAGTGCATTTGATTTAATTGCTCACATTTACGGCCACAATATTAAGTCAATTAGTTTAATAATTGATTTGGACGAGGAATATATAGTTAACACAATATCGGATGGTTTATCACAAATGCCGGCATTAATTCATCTATATTTAAATTTTGAATATTGTCAAACATATCGGCAATTATTGTCACGAATTGGTCCCAAATGTCCGCAACTCAAGAGTCTTGCGATTAATTCCCATTATAGTCACTCAATTTCAGGAGAAATTATCGAAACAATTAATAAATGCTTTAAACAATTAAAGCGATTGAAATTGTTTGGATGTTTTCCCATACAATTCACTACATTTTCATTGAATTCATTGAAACGATTAACACATTTGACAATAAATGATGAATTGTATTATTTCGAAAGGTTTATTAATTCAGACCAAATGTTTGCTAATATTTACCGCAATTTACCACAACTTCTGGACCTGAAGATCAATGGATTGATAATAACGGATGAAGTGTTGAATGCATTGTCAAGACTGACACAAATCCGTTGCATTCAACTCATGGGCACTAATAATAGCACACAATTGGCTGTCAATCGTCTCATCACTAATTGTCCCAAAGTTTGTGTTCAATTGATAGAAAGATTTATTTAAAACAATTGTAACAAATGAGTGGTCGAAACTCGTATCTCAATAAGTAATATCACAAAATTAATCTCAATTTAATAATGCAATTTAAATGTTAGCAATTATTACATGTTTTTTTTGTATAACAAAACATTTTTCATATAATTAGTGATTGTATTTTTTCTGACATTTATATTATGCTCATTTAATATTATCAATATTTACTGTTCAATAAAACTATTTTATTTAAATATTTACTTCATATTTGTTAACCAATTTATTTAATCACTTGATATAGCAGGTCAACAATTAATCCATTTATTTGTGTTCCCAACACCTATGTCCACAAAACCCATGGACAGCATAATACTGTATTACACTTGTATTAATACAAGTTAAAGGCACCAGAAATTAATCCTCAAGTCTGTTATTTTGTTTTGTTATTAATTTAATGTTTTATTTAAACAATACTTTTATCTATTACTTGACAAACACTTTATCATTATTTATAGCATATTTTTTTGGGTCATATATACAGAGATTTTAAGCACAAGAGTCAGTGGAAAGTCAGATCATAACTGAAAACAGGTCTTCCAAAATAATTATCTTTTTTCGATACCAATGGTCACACTCTTGGCCACCAGTGCTGGCGAGAGATTAACGTACAGTAGTTTAGACTCAGTTTGAGCTGTGGTCGTGAACCGGAACCGTTTGACCAGATGTGCGATACATAGCTTCACCTCCATTATGGCGAACCGGTTGCCGATGCAATTGCGGGGTCCGGTGCCGAACGGCAGGTAAGTATACGGCGCTATCAAATGCTTATTTTGGGGCAGAAATCTATCAGGGTCAAATTGATTCGGGTTCGGGTAATAGCGCTCCGATCGGTGAATGGCGTGCACCGGGATCTCAACCAACTGTCCCTTGAATATGGGTATATCAGCGCCGGAACTGGTCTTCAGGACAACGGGTTGGCCGGCCTCGCGCTCCAGACGCGTGGCCACTGGGTATAAGCGCATGCTTTCGCTAAACACGGCGTCCAAATAGGGCAGTCCGTGGAGCCGATCGTAATCGATCTCTCCCTCCGAGTCCATGGCCTCCACTACCTCTTCGTACAGCCGTTGCTGGACATCGGGATTGCGGGCCAACTCGTACGACAGGTACGCCATTGTTGTGGCCGTCGACTCGAAGCCGGCCAACAAGAATAGCCACGACTGGGCTATGATCTCCTCTTCGGTCATCGTTTTGGTCCCGAAATACAACTTTTGCTGCGTTTCAACCACTTCTTCCTCGTCTGTCAATACCATTAAATGAGTTAAAGATATTTTACAATACGTTATAAAATAAAGTTTATATCAAACTTGACTTACCATCGGATAAATCAATACTTTTGTTATTATTATTGGTGTGGCGGGCGTTGGCGTCAATGAGTAATTGAATAAAATCGTGATACTCTTTGCCGACCCCCGTCTGTCGGCGCCGATTGGCCAGTATATGCCGGGCCATTGTGAACATGTACTCACTCGGCTCCTCCACGAACTGTGTCCGTACGCCGAGCGCCCGATTCAACCACTTTGGGAACACAAACGACGGTATCATTTGCCACACATTGAAGTCCATAGCGCGCCGGCCGTTCACCACAAACTCGCTGTTGGGCTCCGACTGGGCGTTGATTTTGGTGGCGAAAGCGCACGAAGCGATCACATCCAACGCGAAACACTGGTGAACGGGTCGGATGTTGATTGGCTGACCGCCGGCTATCACATCCAAGTGGTCGCACATTTCGCGAACACACTCTCTGACCAAATGATACATTCGGCGCATTTTGCCGGACGTGAAAGTGGGCGACATTATTGTGCGCAACCGTTTCCAGTCGTCGCCGGTGTTGAGGAACAGCGCCTTATTAATGATGGGGTGTTCAGTGGTCAGCGACCGGCGGTCGGCGAACGCCTGGAAGTCTTTCACCGTTATTTGTTTGATTATCTCCGGCTCCGCCACCAGTAGTACTGGATTTCTGCCGTCGTATACACTGTACGGAGTAATAAATAATTTATGTTTTTGTTATTTGATAAACATGTCGAGGAATTAGTACCCAATTATGGTGCCGTACTTCTTGAGGTACCCGACATCGATCACAGCGAGTGGTCGCACACATCGGTGCAGGAAATTACCGAAAACAACGATAGGCTTCGGGCCGTTGACACCCAATCTCTTCCAGTGATCGTAAGTTTTTGTTAAATACCTATCATTTATGTTAAAAGTGATTGAGTTTTTTGCATCAACTTTGATATAATAATGATCATGAACTGTTAAAACTATTTTTAGTTAATTATTACTAATACTTACCAATAAATTGTTAATATAGCGCTCAATATAACGCTAACTATAGTTAAACTAACCATTGCCAATAATATTTGAATTATTAGTTTTATAATTATAAACTTTTAATTATAACATTTATTATAAGAGTTAAATTTGCTGCACTAGGGTATTTATATACTGTATATAGAAATAAACATATTTTTACAATGTAATCATTATTCCACAAAACATGACAAATTAAAATGAGATAATCGGGTGCAAATTTTACTAACTGTATATTAATTATATGTAATTAATGCACCTAAATGATTAGTTCAATAAATACGCCTTATCAATGAACTTGATCGAAATATAAAATGATAACTGAATAATTTATTTGATATATTCTGGTTATTATTTAATTTGTAATATTTATGTGACAGCTAATAAACAATTTTTATCATAATTAATTGCATGATTTAATGATCAAATATGTATCGTTTCTATTTAGTAATCAATCAAGGTTGTTTCAAATAATAATATTGAAAATTGATAACTAAAATGTTGATAGCTGTATTAGTAACAGCTCTCACCCTCATACCTTTTTTCTAAATTAATTTTTTAAATATTTAAAAATTGATAAAAATATTTAGAAATGTATTGATAATTATTTATTTATTATTAATTAAAACAATAATTTCTATACAAAAAAACAAACAAAAAAGATTATTGTAAAATAGATATAATTGAAGTACTAGATTAGATTAAAAAGGATTAGATATACTGTAACTGTTGCTAACCATTAGTATGAGTCTCATAGGCCTGCGGAACATCTCAGTCACACCTGTGTCCACACAATCCATCCCTAATCACATGCAAAGGCACCACAAATTAATCCTCACATTTATATTTCGGTTTTAATTCAATGTTTGATTTAAACAATACTTTTATCTCTCATTTGACAAACACTTAATCTTTTTATTTGTCTCATATTTTTGGTTATAAATACAGAAAATCTAAACACAAGACTTATTGGATGTCTGACCAGAGATGAGAACAGATTTCCTAAAAAAGTTTTCATTTATTTTGCTTTAATTGTAAAATTGTTTCAATCTTTTTGTATCACAAAAATGCCACAAATCTATAGTAAAGACAGTTTCGATAGATTTGGTGACGATATGTGCGAAGAGTTGTTGTCTTTCCTCACACTAGAAGACCGATTCCGTTGCGAATGTCTATCAAAACAGACAAAGAGATTAATATTCAATAAACAATTTATAGTTAATATCCTAAAACCTATTCCAACCCATTGTGTATTCTATAATTTGGATATAATTGAGAAAATTCTTACAAAGTGTCCCAACATTTCACATGTTTTAATGGTTCATGGCACTTTAAAATACGATCAGTTTCTTACGGATTGTGAAGAAAAAGTTATTAATTTGGTTACAAAACATTGCAATCATTTAACGCATATTGCGCTCAGCTTTACCCATATGTCTGTTCAAACTATCGACAGTTTTTTCGCAAAGTTTGCCAAACAATTGAAAACCATATCAATGCGTGGTTTAGACTACATTGATAGACATGTATTTAACGTGATCTTTAAATGGCTTGAAATGTGTGTGAATTTGACTGAAATTAAAATTGTTGGATCATTACCTCAAATACAGTCCATATTAATCGCTGAAAATGGTGTGCGTTATAAACAACTCAATAGTATTCATTTGGGAATCATTTTCTATTCAGATCCCACTTATAATGTGTTGACTGTATTTGATTTAATTGTTCACAATTACGGCCACAATATTAAGTCATTTGGATTTGAGTTTAGAGAGAATAATAACAACAAGAATTTGGTTCACAAACTATCGGATAGTTTGTCACAAATGCCGGCATTAATTCATCTCACGTTAAAAGGTTGCCTAATATATGAATTTTATCGGCAATTATTGTCACAAATTGGTCTCAAATGTCCGCAACTCAAGAGTCTTACGATTAGAGAGAATTGTTCGGTCAAAACAATTCTCGAAACAATTAATAAATGTTTAACACAATTAACTAGAATTGATCTAGATGGAGATGTTCATAATATCATTGCCAATCCATTGACATCAATGAAGCAATTAACACATTTGTCAATAAATGATAGATATTATCCTAATCGATTTACGTTCATTTCATACAAACTATTTGCTAATATTGATAACTATTTGCCACAACTTCTGTATCTAAGACTCAATGGAGTGATAATAACGGATGAAGTGTTGAATGCATTGTCAAGACTGACACAAATCCGTTGCATTCAACTCATGGGCGATAATAATAGCACACAATTGGCTGTCAATCATCTCATCACTAATTGTCCCAAAATTAGTCTTCGATTATCTGATTCTTATCTGACTTTTAGTTATTTATAAAATTTTGTTTTATTTAAAAACTTTATGACTTTAAACTTTAAAAAATTTTTAACTTTATGATTAATAATATTTTAATTTATGTTTATTTTAACCATTTATGACTCAATTATCACTTTTGTAAAATTACTATTTATATACCGTTTAATTGACTACTTTTCAATATTTAACTTACATTGAATAATAAGATAAACATTGTATTAATTATTTTAGAAATTGATTTTAATTATTAACGCTACAATAAAATCCTTTTTTACCACACATAGTTTTGTTAGATACTGTGGTTTTTGTATTTATGTTATCTTAACTTATAAACATTGTATAAACTTATAACATAATAATTTTTATGAAAAAACATTACATACTGTAAGAGAATATTGTAAAATAAAAATTATTTTTTAACTGTTAATAATCTCGAAGTACTGCCTCTCGAGTATATCTAACATCGTTTGGTTATTGGCGTGAAGTTTGCGGTGAAGATAATTATCGGTCACTTTCTTTAGGTCCTCTTCGGTAAACTTGAGCTCTAGTCGGTGCTGAAGAACCTTCAGGAACTCGTACTGATGCTCACGGGTTGGCTCAATATTAGTGCCCTCACCATAATCATTCCACGTGACCACTTGCAAATAGTTAGAACCATAAGCTCGAGCTAAATCAAATGTGGCTTCAAACGTGTCGGTGGACACTGGTATGTGCCACGTCGGGCCCGGCCAACCGCCCGCCGCGTACGACGAGTCAAAGCCCGGGTACGCGCACCCGAACTTCAGCTCAGCCTTATTATAGTGATAATAATCGCGCAAATCTGTCAAATAGCTCTCCAATACCCACGCAAATTCACCTTTCGCAGTTTTGCCACCTTGTTTCATTTGACCCCATAGGGTAAGGAATGTGGGCGGCTTCGGGTCTACTGAGTACACCTGATCCCAGTCACCAGCGCTCAGCGTTTGGGGGCCGAAGTCCAGTATAAGTGGCGCGCCTTTCAGTTGTATGTAGTTTTTGTTGGAAAAATGTTTGTCCATTAGATAACGTATGTCTGCCTTTCCCTGTTCTACAATAGACACGTTCAACAGGTGTGCATCTCTAGCCATTCCCAGGTTGTGGTCCTCGTAGACAATGGCGTACTCCAGACCCACCCGTTCGCAGCCCTTCACTATAGCCTCGCAGTTTTCAAAATTGCCCACGTAGTCAAACACTTTAGCAGTGCCCGGCCAGTCGATCAACACACCCGTCACTCCCGACAGCTTCATGAGACCCAACTGCCAGTCGATTACGTGCGGGTCTCCCGAGTCGTACAAATCGATGAGTGGGTATTGTTTTGAGGCGATCTGTCGCCGGCCGGAGGCGTCTTTCACATCGGGATTCATGTTAACCATAGACCAGTGTTGACCCCATTTGCCAATGCGGTCGGGATCAGGGTTTGTCTCTTTGGTCTCAAACCACGGCATCAGATGTATGTATACCTTAATGGAGGTGTCGTTGTGGGGCCGGAAACAGTCGGGTCCGCCGCCACCCGTTGTCCAACAGAGACCAGTACTGATGCACTTGTCTTTGGGTACATCGATCTCTTCGCGTACGTCTATCGGTAGGTCACAGCCCTTATGTATGGGTGGGTTAGGACTGGCCGTAACCGACCACATAGTTAATACAGCGAGTAAACAAATTTTTAGCATTATGATTTTGTTAATCATTTGTGTGCAACTATTTTGCTTGTGCATAAAGTTTAGCATTTATATACTTTTTGTGCTAGATGTTTTATCTATTAGTACACTAACAGGTGATTTAGTTCTCAATCTAAATAATGTTTACTGTGGGTTGTTTTCCACTTGATTTTGGTTTCGCAATGTACTTAAGTTTAAGATAGTTTATCACATTATAAAAAACAAAATTAAAACAGTTCCATCCGGGTTGGCATTGATTGTAAATTATCGTTATTTGTTATAAAATTAAGGTTAATATTGTGAAATAATTAGTAAGTCTCTTACTTTTAATTTTATCATTATAAAACATTATGAAACTAACAACCACTAAAAAATTAACCTTATTCAGTATCAAATATTAATATAATAATATTTATAGTATTGTATCAGTAAATAGTATACGGCAGATGTTTTAATATGTTAATTGCAAATTTATTTTGATCCATATAATAATAATAAATTTAATTTTAATTATGCTATTATTTTAATTTAAATGTAACATATACATCATGCCAATTTAAAAAAACAACAACATAGTTTTTAGCTTCTCTCTCTCTCTCTCTCT